ATTAGTGGTTCGATGAACGGGATCAATGGCGTTGTGAAAGTTAGTGAATTAGCTCGTCATTGGCTGCTGAAACTAAAAACCGTGTTCCAAGCGGGATGAGCTGTAGAAGAGAGATGACCCAATCTGTTTTCCAGGCCCCATTGAATGATGAGTACATCGGATTGAGAAAGACGGGTATACCCCGGATTGGAATACCGTCTCCAACTGGGATTTTCCTGCTCCTTAGTTCACTGAACACTGACTGTATCTCCTCAATTTCTGGTGGCTTGTTCGCTGCCTGCGTCCGGGTTGGCGGTTTTCCACAACCACACTGGGTCATTGGAATGCCTGACTGTACAGTTCACCTGATGGTCAAAGTTTTCAATTCATCTGGTCAACGTTTCTCTGAATACGATGGTATCTTTGGTAACACGGGAAAACATCCTTCCGAAATTTCTCACCCGAAATATCACACGTGATGCGAAGGAGTGACCTCCATGTTGTTTATCTCACTCCTGAACACTGCATTTCCCGGTTTGGCTTGAATGGGCGGTCGTGGTGCGGTGAAGGTCACTAACTTATCGACCCCGGAGGACGTATGTTCGAGTCCCACCACAACCGCCTAACTTTCCCCATTATGTGATTTATGGCAGCCCTTTAATTGACGGTTTCCCTCTTCCTGGAATCGGTATCATTGTATGTTCAATAAAGAGGCAAAAATGAAAAAGAAAGACTGAACGAGTGATTTCGGGTCGAAGAAAGCCTTTATTGCCTAATTTAACAGCTGAAGTCCTATGTTTATGTAATCATGTCGCCTTTCTCAGATGTTTCAGAGCGTCTTCCTGTGCACATGATCTTAACGTTATTCACTGCACACCTATCGTATCGCTGGTTTACCTATTCATAGCAAGCTTGTTACCGGTTGCATTTGACAGAATCTGTGCTCTTTCCTGGTTGCCTGGAGCGGCGATATTGACTCTATTCACGAAACAAGATTTTTGTTGAATCTTGAACCGACAAGGGTATGCTTGATACCAGTCGCATTCTAATTTTCCGCAGAAACATAAAGTCGATCGTGGAGGCTCAACAAGAGTGAACTAGAATACAGTCGACCTGCGGCAATGTTCTTCGGTCGTTTTGATACAACGTCACCAATTGTCCCCTCGGGCGTTGAAAGCACGTGTTGGAAACGAAATAACGAGTAGAGTCAAAAGTGATTAGATGATCACCATACTCGATTTGACAGACAAAACCAGATCTCCTAAAACATGCCGAGTGTTACCACTCGACCGTCCAACGCAGATATTACAACCCTGCAATGAGAAAGATATCCAAGGCTGCGGGTGCCGAAAATTTAGAAGTGCTAATAGAATTCATCCTTAATGGTGGAGTCATCCGACAGTATTGGGATGCATACGGTTGTGGTCGTCATGTTTAATGGGTTGCTTCTGGAGCGTGCTACTGCGAACCTGGGGAAGATGGGTTCCCAGGCGATTGGTATGTTGTTAGCACGATGACTAACAGCAAAAGCAAATACATGAAGCCTGGGGTTGCAAGCTGATTCACTATAATCTGGCTGGTAGGATGTGTTCGCTTGGAGGACGATAACACTTTGTACCCGGGAGTCCAGGAGCGGCAAATCCGATAAGCACGCTTTATCTAGTTTGTGGTTGTACAGGGAACACACAGTAATGCATTAACTTCCTGGATCTAGGATAGTTCTGATATTACAGCTGACAATTCGGTGAGAACACCACGTTACTAGGTGGCAATGCTTTTGCCTGTCCTTCATATACATCTTTCATTGCACTGATAAGAAGAGAATAATTCGGATGAATTTGAATGAAGCCAAGACACACGTGCACTTAAGAATTCTTCTTCGGAACTACTTTCTTACCATGAAGATGGTTGCAACACAGGAGTAGTGGAGAGGATTTGATTAAATTATTTAGTAGATTTCGTCTTATATAGAGCAAAGGAAGAATGAACTGAAAAGCTGGAAATTATTGGACAGCTGTTTTGACAGCAGTGCGAATTCATCGATTCAACCGGGGATCGAGCCCAGAATCTCACAGACAAGCGTACTATTTATTTATCCACCGGACAACTGATTGGGCCGTTTTGTAAAGATTATTGGAAGGTTTTCGTATTACTATGAGCAGATGCATGAATCCAAACGATGATCTATTAAGAGAATTTTCTTGTAAAAAATGTACAAACGAAATTCATTTTGTATATCGATTGTGAAACTTCAGTAGCCTCGGTGGGGTTTGAACCCACGCATGGACGCCGCCTATGCTTTGTAAGCGCACGACCTACCAGCTGAACAACGAGGCCACACCAATAGCTCTGATCTTTACACATTCTAATTTACCCATCCAACTCAAAAGGCATATGGCATGTAAGCTGACTGTCCTGAGAGGTTTTCCTTAGAATTCACCGGAGTCCATCGAATGTGAAAAGATCAGTGTCATCGGTGTGGCCTCGTAGCTCAGCTGGTAGATCGTGCGCGTACAAAGCGTAGGCGAAGTCCATGCCTGGGTTCGAATCCCCCTGAGGCTACTGAGCTTTTCACAATCGACATATAAACTTCAAATCTACCAAAAAGCAATTTGAGAAATTCATTTTGTTGGCCTCAAAGAATGAAAATACAAGTGCTGAGAAATGTACAGTTTGGGTATATTTACGATTAAATCTGGATAGACGAATGTTTTCCATGAACGTGGAAAAGCGCTAAACAACTTTTTATATTTCTGTGTTCAAGTATTACAAGTTATTCCGTAAATGTTTAGTGAGTGACTAGAATGCCTCCAAGATCCTCAGTATGGTTGGGAGTGGGTGTCTAATGTCTTGCGGCTGGTGACCCTTCCCCTGCACCTTGCGAAATACTCCAATAGGACCAAGTGTCGCAAATAGCCTCTTCTGAGGATATATATATATATATAATTGATCCGGTGACCAGTGCTACAACCGAAAAAGTGTGGGTGTGGTTTCTACGCCTCTTCTTGGTTGGTTTGGAATGAGGATTTTTGATCAACTCCCCTAGTTGAAGTACAAATGATTCACCGACCCCGGATGTCTTTTCACTTTGGTGCGAAAACACCTCCGTCACGAGGAGGCGTTGAGTAGGGCTTCCTCAGGAGAGGCTATTTGGTTTGACATGACCAAAAAACCGTTCAACAACTAAACAATCTGGTCCATTACGTGGACGCGTTTTACTTATTGTTCGTTTCATTTATCGTGTAGTTGAGGCCACATCACGTGATTTAGACAAAACATTGCGACAGACAGCATGAAAGGAGAGGGAAAAGCAACATGCGGATAGCACATCCTTATGGCAGTGTTAGTGTGCTTTTGGTATTCTGTATACGGTTCCCGAGTGGTAATAATTCGAAATAAGCTGTTCAGTGAATTAGATCCGCGAAAAAGCGAACAAAGGTAAAGACAAATCGCACAAATCACAAATGCTTACCTGAATCGATCGGAGCAGTGTGTAATCTAAAATAATCCATGCGGTGAGATGTGAGAGTAATACGTAGCTGATGGGCAACTCGAACAAATAGTTCAATGCCAATGAAAACAGCAATCCTAATGTGAGCGCCTCCGTGAGCGGCTCCAGGACACCAGCGACCAGGGGAATCATGCGAACGCGTAGTCGAAGCCATCGAGTCATCCGGTCCGTGTAGGCACGAAGCGAGGTGGTGGCCACATTTTGCAGAGCAGGAAAATCGGACATCACTAGGCGATAACCACTGTGACCATGACAACCGAGGAAGGGAACAACAGGGGAGAGAGTAGGTGGAATGAGACAAGCGATAGCCCACTTTGATTGGAAAAATGAGAAAATATTCTGGTTTCCAAAAACGAGGACAGACATCACACACACGCGCACAGACAGTCTGATAGAAAAGCAGAGACAGAAGCAAAAAAAATGGGACGTGACACGTAGTGTACACAGTCCGAACTCAAACAGTTTCATACAAACCGGTGCGAGCACACATGGGCTTAGGAACGACACGTTCAAATATCCGTGCATTTAGCAGACTCAAAGCAACTGAAGATAAGCTTTATACACCCAAATGGTGAATTGTCAGCAGTTTCCGAATCTATACAGTGGATATACATCGATATAAAAAATTAAGATAGAAAAATAATTTCAACATTGCGGTGTAGGATACATTATAATGCAAACGTTTTTTGCTGAGGTCAAGTGACAACTGTCGTGGGATTAACTAAAATACAAACAACGTACGGAATGACACCGCTTCTGTGCGCGCAAACGAGCTGAAATTTGGAGCAAAATCGAGAATTTGGCACGGCTCTTACGTAAAAGACTGTGCTGCTCTTCATAGAAACTTATCCTGTACTGCTTGTGTCGTAAAGCTTAGAAACAAACAGCTCGATCAAATAGGGTCTAACGAGAATAACAAATTAGGGAATCTTAAGAACAAAGTGAAACCGCTTTTTTTCAAATCAAGACGAAATATGTTACGATTGTCCGGATTTGACTTAATAATGGATTTGTTAATAATCGTCTACCAACGATGCTACTCGTCCAAATAGCGAGTTTACAGGCAGTGAAATGGAACAGAATTGGAAGTGCGCAGTAATTTATTTATTGTGCAAAAAGTATGCATAATAATAGAGAAGAGAGACGATATGGGGCTGTGTGTATAAAACAAATGGTTGACGGGAATGGACGCCGGTTCTAACCAATCACGTGAGTGGGTTGCTGTTGTTCTAATTGGTTGTGCTAGAACAATGCAATTTTCCGGAATTAAATCAACTCCCCTACAAAGCGTGAAAGAGCAGTATAATCATTTCGAAAGAATGAAAGTAACCACAAATATAATAAGATGTGGAACGATCGCTAGTAATTTGTGATTGTATGCATTAAACTGGTGTTTAGCAGAGTTAAACTAGGAAATATTCTGACTAATGACCACAACAGTAGAGGAAGAGTACTTGAAAATATTAGATAACTCGAATAACAGGTATCATCAAAGTGATTCACAGGTTAGCAGTATTTCGTAAATAAATTAGGACGTCATTATCCACATTGGTTTCCGATCTGATAAAATTGAGGAGGCTACATGAACAACATCGAAGATGGAAAGATGAGGCGTTTCGATTCACTAAAAACCGCAAACGATTTACTGGGTTATTTTAGGTTCTCAAACTGCGAATTAGGCCCAGGCAAAGACCGGATGAAAAAATCGGGAGAAATACACGGAATTCAACATGCGTGGATCGATCCGTTGTTTGTTGCGTGTATGCACGCGTCAGGACTAAGCACAACCGATTGACTTGTATCAGATCCCGCTAAACGGAGCGTGACAAAAACGCATTTTTTCGGACAAATCATACGGTTTACCTCAATGATGCATGTGCATGTGCGCATGCCTCGTGAGTACCGGACTACACAGATCACAAATCGATTCGGTCTACCGGTTAAACACTAGAAATATACACATAAAGAGCCGGTGATTCTGAACTCGAAATTGAATGTGCACAAATTTCTCGACAACATTCTAAACTACGTACACCGTAATTCTTGCAAAACCATCAACAAAACAATTTTTTCGTATATCACCTAATATTGTCACTCTGTATTTGATTACTCACATGTCTAAGGATTTCTTGGTCCCCTCTCATCCATTCCCCAAACTATTCACTTCCATCCTCAACAAACCTGTTCAGCCACGATTCCAATAACTATGCAGCATTAATTCCAATGAAGTCCTCCGATGTCAAATACGGTAATCTTCGACTCAGCTGAATCATTCACCATGGAAGATCTTAATTAATTGCAAATCTATTGTACTGCTGAGAAAAAGAGTTTAGTTGGTCAAGTGTATCGAAATGTGGGATGAGGGAACGATATAACTGACACGGGGTTATGTCCAGCAAAATAGTCACCAGACAAAGTCTAGGATTCTCCGTCATTTTAGCTCAATGAAACTTGAATAAGGGAACTATGTCAACCGATGCCAGTAACAATGGTTTAAGAAGGGAAATGACATTAACGCACGGACTGTTGATGACAACCATCATTTACCACAGAACAGCCAGATCTTCACTCAAGCTGGAAAATTGCGTAAAATCATGCGAACATGTTTTGTTGGACCCAAGGTAAAGTACAAAGAATATGAAACCACACTGCATCCCGATTACAATCAAGACAATTATATTTAACACACGCGTATGAATCCGGACAGTGTTCCAAAGAAATCACGATACAATAATCTTCATAATAAAATGTTCTGTGATTTGCCAGTGGACGCGATACTACCAGCGTGCCCGATCCGAAGCAGGATGAATTCAGAACCACAAGTGTCAATCAGCTAAAGATTGACTCGTCAGAGAGCGGGGCGACGTGCAAACCTCGGATCAAAGGGTTCAAAGCACGCCGGTGATATCGACTAAACCACAGTGTGTGTGTGTGCTCCGTCCACGGCGGTTCTTTTCCTCCTCCCTCGAAACAGCCTCATTCCGCAATCATCTGACGTAGCGATATCTACTTTTTATACATTATGAGTTTGCTAACAATCAGCTAAGTTCGCTTCATCGCCTTTTTTCGCTGTACGACGATGGCAATGGCAATGATTTGTACCATGACGACCGATCCAGCACCGACACAACAGCCTGAATTTGTCTCGAATGATGAAGATTATTTGGTTCAGATTTTTCCCCGTTTAGTGTTAGGGAGAACTGAAAGCGTGGAAACCTCCGGTTCTAATAGATGGCAACATGTGCCATCAAACCAGTCGGTGCAACACAAAAGAGCACCGAAAAATGTAGCAAGCCCTAATCACAAACTGCGGGGTCCAACTTACGCCAACTCTACCTTACCAAGGAGGATCCAACGCTAATCGATAACCCCTAGATTGAACAGGCGCTGTATGTTGTATGGTGCCCATTATTTCGGTTTGGAGGTTAACACGGTCAGCACAAAGATTTTCCAGATAATATCGATTGTCACTGTTCGCTTTGGAGAGGGTTGTCACACCGAACAGAGGACTGATTGAAAGCTTAGTCGACTTTAGATACCTGAAGCCACGGATGCTTCCCAACGACAGAGCAAACAACAAAATAACTATTAGAATCGAAGTCGCTCGCAGGGCTCTTTTTCACAAAACGGAGATTGGGACTGAGACTACAATTGTGGATCATCCTAGCTTTTAAACGATTGATTCACCCGGTACCATCACCTAAAATTCGTCAAATCCACGCGATGCATTTTTTCCTTATCGAACGAAACTTGAAAAGGCGAACAACAATGGACAATAAATAACTCGGAATGTAGATTCGACTATTATATCAGATTGGCTTTCAGGACATACGAGAGAACAAGAACAATTCGCGATCTATAAAGAATAGTAGATAAGTGACTGGTTCAATCAGTCATCGGAAATTGGAATGGATTCAATCAGCCAGAAAGCAACTCCATCGGCGAGTGGAGAATGAACGAGTAAAGCTATTCAATCAAATGGTTCGACGGAACAACACAAACAGGCCACGTACATGCGTGATTATCAGTTGATTTTGGTGGCGTGATTCCAGGTTCTACACGCGTGATTTGTACCTTAACGTGGCGCACCAAATGGACTGCACTGGCCGTACACAAATGGAACCCATTGTTCGTGTGTGAGTGAGAACGGGACCGAGCGCACTCGAGAGCATTTGTGTGCGAACTCGTCAGGTTGCGTTGCGTGTGATTCATGGTACTCTGACTGGGAGTCGAGTTATCACAATTATAAACCCCATCCTTTTCTGACAAACACGTAAGCTCATTCGACTTATCAGTAGTGGCCAAATGCGATCCAACCCGCTGTCGGTGATACGACACGTGTGACACCGTCACCATTGTCTGATCTCTTGCTCACGATGCCTAGCTTGTGACACTCAGTCACCTGAATGAATATAGTATTAACCCATCACAGACATGACATATCTGTAATAGTGCCCACTTACGTTGTCGCTTCTATTTGTCGAATGTCTTATAAAAGTACGATTTCTTGATCCCTATGACGGTTAGTGGTGCATCAGTTGTTATCTTAAAAAGATCATAAGAATTTATTTACGAAAATCATGCATATGCATGATACATGTAATGCTCGTTCATTTTGTCAATACGCAGTTTGCCCTCTCTTATTTTTGAGCACTAGTCCAGTCGTTTTGGCATGAAGTCCACCAAATAGACAGCCAAATCACATTTTTTTATAGTCTCCTCTACTGTATACCGCGCCCTAGCCACTGTCGAGATAGTTAAGTTAGCATTGCATTGAACACGGAAGTGATTTCGATTACAATTAGATCCGGGTCGTTGGAAGGTAATCGAATGGACTCGACTTTGGAAATTAACTATCCAAAAAACTGTACTAATGTTAGAAAATTATATAGAATGATGTTTAAAAAAAATCCACAATGAACCTCGCGTGAGATACGACATTGAGCTTTGTCTTGGAAAAGCATGGCTTTGTACGAATGTGTTCCGAGCGGCAGTTGTCGAAAGCTTGCCTCATAAATGCATCAAAGTGAGTACCATCCAGAAGGCCCAGTGACAAGACACGCTGTATTTTATTCCTTTCCAACTTGTATCAGCCGCGACGAATCTTTATTTATTATGAAATGGATTTCTTGTGTAAAGAAAAAGGTTAGCAGATTACCGATGCTCGCAGTGTCACACGTAGTGCTCCCAGTTCATTCAAAGATCCTCAGTTTATAAATGAATCC